TGGCAAATATTTGGAAATTCCCCAAAATATGTCCATAAAATCATTGTCAGTTGGCATATCAGACTACTTATGTGAAGAATTTTAATATCTCAATATGAAACAACTTACACATTAATAAATCAAAAATTAAAGCAAATATATTTCTTTTATGTCGCGCCTATATCATAATCTATCATAGCTCTCCACAACTTCCCTGCCCCTAATAGCCCTTAGCAGTTTTTTCTCCCGTTGCTCAGGTGCCCCATCAAATTCCGCCGTCATTTTAGACGTCAGGTATTTGGCTTGCTGATTCCCCTACTTCTCATGTCCCCATTTTTTCAAGTCTTCCTTCTTAATAAATATCCCAGTGATTTCAGCTTTCTTTTCCCTAATTCTGTATATAAGTGTTCTTTTTGTTGCTATTTTATTTAATATTTCCCCATTCTTTATTCGCTCCGACCATGAGATTCACAGTAACCTGATTTAGAACCACATTTCTGTTGCCTCCAGCTAAAGAGTTTGTCCAGCATTCAATTAGAAATAATTAAGCAAACGATAATAACAAGAGATATTAGTGATTATATGAGTTGAATTAAATGGAATATAGTATATTAACGTATATTGACGTATATTAGAATAGTTAATGTCGAATATATCTTGAATATAAATCTTATAAGTAATTACTCTATTTACATTGTTCAGAATGGTGTGCTTATCTTTATTGTCATAGTCACGACGTTTCGGCCGTTCTACTTCTTCTTCAGGTGATATACGCTAGAATTTAGAACAGTAGTGCTTTTTTGGATATCTCATTTTCTTAGTGACTCATCTCTCTAAGATCACCACAGCTGTGGTCAGTTATTGAACGCATAACTCTTTAGGTCAAGTGGCTTTTGAATTGCTTTAACCAACGCTTTTATCCACTGGGTCATGTGTCCTAATTGAAGTTGTGGGGCGACTTTTAAACCTAATCTCTAATGTGTGCGAAAACTATCTATCTTTAGACAAGACACAGTGAACACGTATCCATTATCCATACGTATATGAGCGAGGAAAAAAAACCCACAAACAACAACTTAATAATACCTTAATATTTAAATTGCTAAAAGGAAAAATCTGCAAGTAAACCAAACGTATCTTCTGATGCGGACCTCGCCATATCGGCATAATTTTTTCATAGTATTACCGTTACAATTGAAACTAACTTTGTGTCATATTCGGTTGCGACGTGGGCAGGTTGAAAATTACCCCCAGCCATAGAAGCTGACATGATAACAAGATCCCTTAAAATGCAGGTTTAAAATAGAATAGTGTAATTATATGCAAGACCTCATCTCAGAAATATAGGCAGAAGTCTTATAAGTTAAAAATCACTAGGAATTAACAGTTCGGCAAGCATTGGTCTGTACTACAGTAAAGTTAAAAATGCAAACATATGTTCAGCTCTCAATGTGTGTATCATTAGAAAAAATGCAACAGGGTGTAAATAGTAGATATCGGTATTGCGGAGAAACTAAAGAGTAATGAGCGTGCGTGTACCAATACCCTTCAAACGAGTAGGTAGAGTATAGTTGATATAACGACATTTGGTGGGTAATTTAATATCAGATTTAAGTTTGATAGGATAACATTCCCAAGAGATTTATAGATAGGCAGTCTTAGGCGTAGTCTTCTCTTTGCTCAAAGGGAGATTGAGCACATCGCCGTGGTGTAATGGTTAGCAAGCTTGTCTCGCTAGAACATATTACGACTAAGCAGTGACTCACTGGGTGCTCCATACTTCAGGCCTTGTGCCACATCTAAGCAGCGCTTAAAAAATCACTACTCAAAGGTAGATATGCTCTAGTTTTATACCTGTGTTTGCAAAAAAGATTCGACCTAGAAAGTGACACCTATTCATTTTGACGGAGGTCCATACCCTAATGCAGTGTGGCTATGTGAGACGTAACATATATATATATATATATATATATATATATATATATATATATATATATATATATATATATATATATATATATATATATATAGGATTGGTGTATACGGAATAAACTCCAATAACCCAAAAATACTATTCTTAAAAGAGTGCTCGATACAGTGTAGAGCAAATAAAATTTATTCGAAAATTCTAACATAAATATGTCATAAAATCACTACAAAAATAGCCATTTTATTTCAAACTTAGCCTTATCAAGTGATGGTGTTGAATGTAGTTTCTATATTCAACACCATCACTTGATAAGGCACCAGATGTGTTGAAGAGCTATTTTTGTAGTGATTTTTATAACATATTTATGTTAGAATTTTCGAATAGGAGATGTGGGTTGGTAAATTATATTATAGCTATATAGCGAGACTCTTTGCTAATGCGAATTGAGCCACTCCCGGTCACTGGGCGTGTTTATAAAAAAATAAACACGCTAAAAATCCACTCTCCTCCCTACCGTGCGCCGATGGCTTAATGACATCAGTTCAGTCGGGTTTCGACCCTAGCTTGAGGCAACCGGATGTCTAGCCACACTGATGAGCTGTGAAACAGCGAAACAGTCTGTCTGTGGATGACGTATATATATATATATATATATATATATATATATATATATATATATATATATGTATTATATGTATGTAAATAGGTGCGACAGAAAATTGGCCAAATCCTGTAACAGGAATATTGTTCAATTGTTAGATTAAGCTTTGGACCGTTGCCGATTAGAAATGATTGAAGATATCTTAATTCTCCGAGGTTTTTATAACACTATTGGACTCTATATCGAAAAATAAGAATGTATTTAGCTCTAGTTGAAATGATGATCCCTCTTCCAATCCTCCGGAGTCAATTTCCCTCTATACTGTTCCCTCTTTTTAAAACTTATTTACCATTCCCTTGATGGTTCTTGAATTGACTTTGAAGATGAAAGCCAGAGCATGAATGTTGTTACCATTATTGAAAGTCTGAATGAACCTTTTCCTCTCACCATTTGAAAACATAGTAGGGCTGACACAAAACGATTTTAACCTGTTCTCTTTCGAGTTGAATTGGGTTTTTCGCTGATTCTTACGACAAATGGTGTCAAGATGGGTAAATGTGTTATCAGAAAACCTGGAAAAAGATTAAGATGACTGGTTTTGTAGATATTAAACATTCTGTGCGATAGAGAAATAAATACACAAATACCTACGTTCGATGTGCGACTCGAGTTTCATTGGTTAACCAAGTCATCAGACACGAGCTTATTGTTTATTTATATGTATATATATATATATATATATATATATATATATATATATATATATATATATATATGGGACTGTGTGTGTGTGTGTATAGAGAGAGAGAGAGAGAGAAAGAAATGGAAACCTAAATTGAAAATTTGGTTTCAAAAAGTGTACAAGATCAGAGATTAGGATATCGATACATTAAACGCAACAACATTTTACTGAGATAACCTTATATTTTTCACGGCTGTCATTTTCCATCCATCTCTCTCTTCTTACACACAGATATATATATATATATATATATATATATATATATATATATATATATATATATATATATATATATATTTGTATTTGTATTTACAACTTATTTAATAAATATCCTTTTGTCTTTCTTGCCTGGCATATCTTGTGGTTTATACCTTGCAGCGGTCGTATAGACAAGATTAGACGAAAAGAAAGACGTCCGCACAAGATCTTATCTATCGCTTGATAAAACAAAATGGAAAAGGTAAAATAAATAAAAATAAAATAAAAAGACAAAGATCTCAGAGCGCATACGTTATTTTAGCTGGTCTGCCAAGAAAAAAAAAAGAAAAAAAGACAGAGGATAAAAATGGCAGGTTTCTCTTTTGCGTATATTTTATCGAGGATTTTGCTAAGATTTATTATCGACGACAAAGGCGTCCCTTCAGCATGTTCCTCGGTGTGTGTACTGAAGCATTGATTCCAGAAAACTACGACTTCATTTTCCTTTCGATGTTTCCTCTTCATTTCGTACCATGGAATTTCGAGTTGTTATTTATCTTGCTTTTTACTGTATGAACTGTTAAATCGGCAACATTCTCATTTAATTCGAGTACAAGAAGGGCTGCGCAAAAGGCTTCCTTTCTTCTCATCTCATTTAATAATCTACACAAAGGGTCTATTTTCTCATATATATATATATATATATATATATATATATATATATATATATACATATATAAAAGTAAACATTGAACTCAACAACTTAGAGGCGACAGTCTGTTTCATGCTTGACGCAATCGTCAGTCCACGAGTGCCGTTTTTTTTTCTCGGCTATTTATATATACGGGTCAGTGGTGCATTGTATGTAGTCTATTTTGGCGGTTATTTCGCCGGAAGTCGTTTATTTGTTTATTTATTAGGGGTTAAATTATTTTGCTTGTCTTTATTTAGTTTTTTTTTTGTATTGTGTGTAGAAGTGAGTTTATTGAGACAGATGAGCCACCAATATACACGAATAACAAATATAACCTAGTCTAGATGCCAACGAGAATAAAATGGGAACATTAGGCAGACCCCGTCCATATATACCAGCAATAGCCATTTTCGGCCTGATCTGGCTCTTGTAAAGTAGAGAATAGCTTGAGGAATAAAGCGTAGCCTCAGTATCTAATGAAAAAACGAATGTTAAACTTGTAAATGTGCAATGCATATTCTGAACCAACAAGCAGACCTTGCAGTTCAGCCACTAAAACTGTTCCACATGTTATTTTATTGTCCTTTCTCGTCACTAAAGTCGTTTCCATTTTTAGTGGCATATGCAGATATCTATATACTGCGTACGCAATTTTTATTTTATTTTTGGAGATATTAATGCTTTAGTGATACAACTCTTACTAATTAACCCATAGCTGTGGGGATAATAGGAGGATTCATACCTTTCAAAAGCTATTTGTCCGGAAGTGAAGATAACGAACCCAGTTGGAATTAGAACTCGGCTTTCAGATTAATAATTTCGAGCCATTATCAAATACACCACCAGCGCATTCAAGCTTACAGCACCTGGTATTCGCAATCGGCTACCAATCTAGGTATTGACCAAGCTCAACGTTGCTTAACGTCGGTGATCGTACGGGAACCAATGTTTCAACATGATGTGACC